GTTGAGGTGGGAGTGTGACAGGCTTGGCTGTGCAAGTGGGATTTGGACTCATTTTCCTGGTGCTTTTCCTTCTGTGTTGGATTGACAGGCATCTGTGGTGACTGGAACAATCTCTTCACTGTGGCTCAAAGTGAAGCCTTTGACAGAGTCTATCAGGAGAAGATGTCGAGGCTGGATCCTGGTCTCTTCCCCTGGTCAGCACGATGTTGATCAATGCCCCCACCCACCTACCCCCTCGCCACTCTGCACACCCTCATCCAGGATAGGGTTTCTTAGTGTAGTCCTGGCTGTGCTGGACCTAGCTCTGTAAATAGGCTGGTCTCAAACTCAGAGATCTGCCTGTCTCTGCCTCCTGAGTGCTGGGATTAAAGGTGTGCACCACCAATGTCTGGCTGTCTGGTTAAAAGACTCTAACCATTTTAAGGACTCTGGGTGTTACTTACTAAACTTTAAAAAAAAATCTATCTGTGCCTTTTTTTTATTTTATTTTTTTTGTCATCTGGATGCAAGTTAGTCATCTGGGACCAGGAAATCTGATGGAGAAAATGCCTCCATCAGATTGGTCTGTATGAGGGACCACCCCACTCAAGGTGGTGCCATCCTTGGGGAAGTGGCTCTGGGTTGTATGGAAAAAAAATCTGAGCAAGTCACAGGGAGCAAGCCAATAAACATCATTCCCCCACCGTCTCTACTTAGTTCCTCCCTCAGTTTCCCATGATAATGGACCTGTAAGCCAAATAAACCCTTCCCTCCCCATGTTGCTTTTGGTCAGTGCTTTATCACAGGAATGGAATGAAGATTGGAATACTATCCTTTTGAGTTGCCAGGTGGTTCATATCACAAAACCCAGAGCAAAGTAATTTTTAAAAAACTTGAGTCTAGAGCAGACATATCTGCACCTGGTTTCCAAAACTGAATTGCAAGTAAGGTATTCATAATAAAATGTCAATTTATTGTTGCTTTCAAACAACTGTGGTGACGAATTTATTGGTATTGAAGGGGTCAGCAGAGAGAAGTGTATGCCTGCCTGAGCTTTACATCTCTAGTTATAAGGAACAAAGGGCAATAACCGTAATTTCATTACTGTTATGAATCATAATGTAAATATCTGATAAGCAGGATATATGATATACAATCCCCTTTGAAGTTGCGACCCACAAGTTGAGAAATACTGGTTTAGATGATTAAAATTTAAAATATTGTTTAAATAGGACTGAGTTCTTTATGGTAATTTACAGCCAACATAATAGTGACTAACAGTTAACATGTAAAATCTTAAGTTTTAGAGGTTTATTATTTGTGTGTATATATGTGAATCTGTGTGCTTGCATGTAGGTGTCTGTGGAAGCCTGTAAAGCACATTAGATACCCTAGAGCTGGAGTTACAGGCAGTTTTGAGCCACACAATGTATGTGCTGGAGTTTGAACTCTGACCCTCTGAGGAGCAGGGAACACTTTAAACCACTGTGTTATCTTTCCAGCCCCTCTTTGAAGGAATAAAGGGTGAACCTTAGGCCTGATCCCTGGAACTTGGAAAAAGAATTTTTGAGATCACTTTTCCAAAAGTATGGATTCCTGATTTTA